GCTTTATCTTCTGCTGCTGCTGCTGGTGCTAGTGCTGCTGCACGAGAGCAGCAGCAGCAGCAGCAGCAGCAGCAGCACGATCGCGCTGCTTCCATAACAGTTGCTGCTGCTGCGTCAATGTTATTATTTTATGTTTTAATTTTTTTTATTTTATTCATTTGTTTTTTATTGTTTTTATTTTGTTTGTTTGTTTATTTTGTTTTTATTTATTTCAACAGCAGCCAACAACCCATTTGCTGCTGTAGCTCGAAACAGCAGCAGGAGCAGCAGCAGCTGCTGCAGCAGCAGCAGCAGCAAGGAGACTGACTGCCTTGAAGCCAATGGTTTCTTAATTTATTTTTATTGAATATTAAATATTTAAATAAATATTGTTTTATGATAAATAATATTAGCTGCATCTGCTGCTGCTGCTGCTGCTGCTGCTGCCTTCCGTCCCTTCGCAGTCGGCAGCTGTTGCTACTGCAGCCGAGCAGCAGCAGCTGCAGCTGCTGTAGCTGCAGCTGTTGCTGCTGTTGCTGCTGCTGCAGCAGCAGCAGCTGCAGCAGCTGCTGCTGCACAGCTATTTTAGAAGCCTTTAAGGGTAATTACTACATTTTTTTCTGTCTTTTTTTTTAATGTTTAAATTTTTATTGTTCGACTCAAACGCCGATGCACCGGACCAGCCCAGACCACCCCAGCAGCAGCAGCAGCAGCAGCAGCAGCAGCAGCAGCGGCAGCAGCAGTAGCGCCCGCAGCAGCGTTATCTTCTGCTGCTAGCTTTACTCCTAAAGCTCCCTTTTCAGCGGCAGAAGATTTCTTCCTTCTCAAGAGCCGCAGCAGCAGCAGCAGCAGCAGCAGCAGCAACAGCAGCAGCAGCAGCAGCAGCAGCAACACTTCGCGTGCCACTATGGCATCTTCTCTACCCCTCCGCTTGCTGAACTGCAGCAACAGCAGCAACAACAGCAACATGATGCAGCAGCACAACAGCAGCAGCAGCAGCGCGTACAGCAGCAGCAGCGCGTACAGCAGCAGCAGCAGCAGCAACAGCAGCAATAGCAGCACAAAGAGGTGGGTAAGAGAGCCGCCGCAGCTAGGAGAGAACGGTAACTGGCAGTGCAGCTGCTGCTTAAATATAAATTATAGAAGACGCTCTTGCTGCAACAAATGTGCAGCAAGTCGAACTCCAGACAGCAGCAGCAGCAGCAGCAGCAGCAGCAGCAGCAGCAGCAGCAGCAGCAACGCCATGAGTAAGGAGAGCTTGCAGCAGTTTATATCGCTTAAAGAAGAATTCATTCATATGGGTTTGGACCCGCAAACTGCTGCTGCTGCTGCTGCTGCTCAGCAAGCAGCAACAGCTTGCCTCTCCAGCAGCAGCAGCAACAACAACAACAGCAGCAGCAGCAGCATGGGTGCGGCAGAGAGCAGCAGCGCTGCTTTTGAAGGGCTGCGTCTGCTGTCCTATCCGCTCGAACGGCAGCAGCAGCAGCAGCAGCAACAGCAGCAGGAGCAGCAGCAGCAGCAACCGCTGCTGCGACCCGCATCTTTTGATATGCAGTTGCTGCGGCGTGGCAGCTCGAAGCTTCTTCCGCTGCAGCAGCAGCTGCAGCAGCAGCAGCAGCAGCAGAAGCAGCAGCAGGTAGATGGTGAGGAGGTGCTAACGAAGGGGATCAGCAGCAGAGCGACTTCAGGAGATTTGCTGCGGTCTAGCAGCAGCAGCAGCAGTAGCAGCTGCTGCTGGTACTCCGATGAGGAAGCAGGCAGCAGCAGCAGCAGCAGCAGCAGCAGCAGCAGCAATAGCAGCAGCAGCAGCGGCGATGAGATGCAGCAGGTGCTGCAGAAGGCGGCGGAAATTGTTGACTCGCTGCTGCAGGAGTTTGTTGCTGCTGAGCTACAGCAGCAGCAGCAGCAGCAGCAGCAGCAGCTGGAGCATGGTACCCCTGCTGCAGCAGCAGCAGCTACAGCAGCAGCAGCAGCAGCAACATCTAAAGCAGAAGCAGTGCTGCGTGCTGCTTTAAATACACTCTGGCAATCGACAGGAAACGAAGGTGCAGCAGCACCATGCGAGCGGCAGCAGCAGCAGCAGCAGCAGCAGCAGCAGCAGCAGCAGCAACTTTGCTGCCCTCAGATGCTTGCGCATCCTGACGAGTTTAAAAACCCTTCTTCGTTTTTAAAAATATATGGCGACCCTCTTTGTGCATTATCATTAACGAACAGCAGCAGCAGCAGCAGCAGCAGCAATAGCAGCAGCAGCAGCAGCAGCAGCAGCAGCAGCAGCAGTATGTCTCCGCTACCAAATCAAGCAGGTAATTGGGTTTGCTGCTGCTGCAGCAATGTAAACTTCCCAAGGCGCTTTCGGTGTTTTAAATGCGGCGAAGAGCGCAGCAAAGAAGGCGACAAAATCGTAGCAAAATATTCGCGTGAGGTGTATCTGCACCTGCTGCAGCAGATACGGCAGCAGCAGCAAATGCAGCAAGTGCAGCACCACATGCAGCAGCAGCAGCACATGCAGCAGCACCACCACCACATGCAGCAGCACCACCACCACATGCAGCAGCAGCAAGGGCAGCACCATATGCAACAGCAGCAGCACCTGCATAATATTAGACAGCAGCAAATGCTGCACATGCAACATATGCTGCAGCAGCAGCATATGCAGCAGCAGCAGCAGCAGCAGCAGCAGCAGCAAATTCAACAGCAGCATAATCAAATGCAAAACCAAGAGCAGCAACAGCAAATGCTGCTGCAGCAGCAACAGCAAATACCCGAACCACCACCGCCTCCACCTCGTCCTTCGCAGCAGCAAGTGCAGCAGCAGCAGCAAGTGCAGCAGCAGCAGCAAGTGCAGCAGCAGCAGCAGCAAAAGCAAACCAAGATACTCCTCACCCCGAAGCTATCAAGACCCACTGAACCCCCAGCAGCAGCAGCAGCAGCAGCAGCAGTAGCAGCAGCAGCAGCACCTGCTGCTGCTGCTGCTGCTGCAACAGGCCGTGAAGCTGGAGTTGCAGGTGCTTGCTGCTTAGTGCAGCAGCAGAAACAGCAACAGCAGCAGCAGCAGCCGCAACAGCAAAAGCAGCAGCTGGCGGTGGGGCATCCACCTGGCGTTGGTGCAGCAGCAGCAGCAACAGCAGCAGCAACAGCAGCAGGTGCTGCTGCTTCTTTTGAATCTTCTTCTACTTCTTTGCAGCAAATTGACTAGTAGATACCACATGGTAGCACAGCAGCAGCAGCAACAGCAGCAGCAGCAGCAGCAGCAGCAGCCGTTGCTGAAGCAGCAACTGCAGTTAGCTGTTGCTGCAGCAGAGGGTTTCGCTGCTGCAGCAGTCCTGCAGCAGATTTTATTTTGTTGTAGCTGCAACGACTCCAGAGTAGCAGCAGCGGCAGCAGCAGCTAATGCTGCAGCAGTAGCAGCAGCAGCAGCATTAGTCCACTTGACATCGGGTGCAGCAGCAGACGCTGCTGCAGCACCTGCTGCAGAAGCAGCAGGTGCTGCTGCAGCATCAGCCGCTGCAGCAGCAGCAGCAGGAAACCAGCAGTAGCAGCACCGGCTGCTGCAGCAGCAGCAACGGCTGCTGCTGCTGCTGCTGCCCCTGCTGCTTTTTATATTTATATTTACATTAGCATTTTTCTCTTTGTCTGAGGTGCATAAACCCTAAACCCTAAACCCTAATATTAGGGTTTACAAGATCAGGTGTATCTACATGCAAGGAGTGTTGCTGTTGCTGCTGCTGCTGCTGCTGCTGCAGTAAGTGCTGCTGTTGGCGTGCTAACTGCTGCTGCTGCTGTTGCTGCAGCAAGTGCTGCTGTAAATGCAGCACTGGCTGCTGCTGTACTTATACCTACTTCTAACGCTGCTTCTGCTATTGCTGCTGCTGTTGCTTCTTTTGTTGCTGCTGCTATTGCTGCTGCTGCTGTTACTATTGCTGCTGCTGTTGCTGCTGCTGCTATTTCATCGCCAACACTTAAAAATTGCAGCAAAATATAAATTGTGCGCTGCTACTTAGCAGCAGCAGTTGCTGCTGCTGCTGCTGCTGCTGCAGCTGCTGCTGCAGTTGCTACTGCTGCTGCACTAGTTGGTAGTGCTGCTGCAGATGTTGTTGTTGCTGCTGCTGTTGTTGCTACTGCCGCTGCAGCAGAAGCTGTTACTGCAGTTGCTTCTGCTGCTGCTATTGTTTTTGCTGCTGCCGCAGCTGTACCCGCTGCTGCTATTGCTGCTGCTGCTACTGCTGCTGCTGCAGCTGCTGCTGCTGCTATTTAAGTTTTGTCTCTGGGGCTTCCTAGGGTTCTTCCTTCTCCTCTAAACGGTACGAATGTGCATTCAGGCCCCATAATGATTTGCTGCTGCTGCTGCTGTTGCTGCTGCTGCTGCTGCTGGAGTTGCTGCTGCAGCAGAAACTGCTGCTGCTGCAGCAGCAGCGGTGTCTCTTCTGCTGCTGCAGCAAATGAATTAAATATAAAATCTTCTTGATTAAAAACAGACGGCAAACGAGCTTTGTACAGCTTCCACGAAACCCAAGCCGTCATCATGCTGAAACACACAAACCCTAAACCCTAAACCCTAAACCCTAAACCCTAAACCCTAAACACTAAACCCTAAACCCTAAACCATAAAGAATCAACCATAAAGTATAGACGATAAACGCTGCACAATAAACCCTACACAATTAACCCTAAACCCTAAACCCTACACCATAGATCCTTAAACAGTTAACCCCAAACCCTAAACCCTAAACCCCAAACCCTAAACCCTAAACCCTAATTCCTGAAGGTGTTATAATACTGATTTGTTTTTTTTTTAAACTTTTTTATTTTAATTACTTCTCTTTACCGCCACTACTAATTAATTAATTAATTAATTAATTTATTTATTTATTTATTTATTTATTTATTTATTTATTTATTTATTTATTTAGGGTTTACCTACCAAACGAAGGGGCTGATACAAAAACTAAAAAACTCAAAGTAGATTTGTATTAAAGAGGGATGATGCTGAGGCGGTAAAGAATAAAAATTATTATTATTATTATTATTATTATTATTATTATTAGTCTTCTCTTCAGCAGCAGCAGCATCAGCAGCATCAGCAGCAGCAGCTTTATTTGCTTCTTCTAGGGGGCCCCCTTCCTTAGGGGGGCCCCCCCTACCTTCTTTATTAGAGGGGGCCCCCGCCTTTATATTAGAAGTGGGAGCATTCTTAATATAAGGGTCTCCAATATAATTATCATTAGGGGGCCCCTCTAACTTATAGGGGGCCCCCCCTATAGAGGGGCCCCCTATATAATTCGGGGTACCCTCTTTAGGGGGCCCCCTTATAGGGGGCCCCTCTATACGGGTACCCTCTTTAGGGGGCCCCTCTTTAGGGGGCCCCCCTATAGGGGGCCCCCCTAATTGAGGGGTACCCTCTTTAGGGGGCCCCTCTATAGGGGGCCCCCCTAATTGAGGGGTACCCTGTATAGGGGGGCCCCCTAAGTGATGAGTACCCTCTATAGGGGGCCCCTCTATAGGGGGGCCCCCTAAATGAGGGGGGCCCCCTATAATATGATGAGGATTGAAAGTAAAGGGTATCCAGTAGTATTTAGGGTTAAACCACAGAAAAGCATAGGGTCCTGTACAGCGAATAATAATATAAAATGCGTCGGAGATAGAAAATATAAAAGAAAAGAAAGCGACAAAAAATAAACGCATTAAAGAAGCACCTGAAAACTTATGCTGCTTCCAGCCTAATATAAATAAAAATAAATTTGCTGCTCCTAGCAGAGGCCGAGGAGACAGTAAACGCAGCAGCAATAATATCAGCTGCAGCAGCATACAAACCTTAAACATCTGACTCATGCTGCAGCATATACACCCCCTATTTCCTCCTCCTGCTGCTGCTGTTGTTGTTGCTGCAGGTGCTGCTGGTGCTGCTGCTGATTCTGCTGCTGCTGCTGCTGCTGCTGTTCCTGCGGATGCCAGAGGAGACAGCGGGGAAGGAGAAGAGGGCCCATCTGCTGCTGCTGCTGCTGCAGCAGCAGCAGCAGCAGCAGAGTCCATCTTCATGCGCTACTCACACAGCTGCAACTGCAGCAGTAGCAGCAGCAGCAGCAGCAGCAGCAGCAGCAGCAGCAGCAGCAGCAGAGCTGTTTCGCAGTGCTGCCCTCTTCACTGAGTCCAATGAAACCCCTGCTGCTGCTGCTGTATTGCTGCTGCTGCTACTGTTGCTGTATTGCTGCTGCCGCTGCTGCTGCTGCTGCTGCTGCGGGTGTTTTGTTGCTGCTGCTGTATTGTTGCTGCTGCTGTGTCTGCTGCTGCTGCTGCTGTTGCTGCTGCTGCTGCCTTCGTCTTCTCTTTTTTGCGTCTATTTGAGAGATAATAAATAAATTAAAATAATCAAAAATAAACAAAGAAAGTGCAGCAGGAAATCCTCTGAGGGTTTTAATCGCTGCTGGGCTGTCTTTGCTGATTTTAAGGTAAAGTTGCCGTTAATTTTATGTTATTTTAATTTATTTTGATTTATTTTTTAGTTTATTTATAAATAAAATATAAAAAGAAGAAATACTGCGATAAAAAACAGAAAAATTGCACAAGAATTCATCTCACAAACCCTAAACCCTAAACCCTAAACCCTAAACCCTAAACCCTCATAGACCGCTGGGCGAGACCACTGGAAGCCTCTTTAGTTTGTAGTTTTTTCTTTGCTTCTTCTTTTGTCTTTTTAATTTTATTGTTTTATTTTAATTCAATATTAAACCCTAAAACCCTAAACCCTAAACCCTCTAAACCCTACACCCTCTAAACCCTAAACCCTAAACCCTAAACCCTAAACTGCGACCGGTGGTGCGACCACCCCAACCCCAAACCCCACAGACGAAACCCTAAACCCTAAACCCTAAACCCTAAACCCTAAACTCTAAACCCTAAATTCAAGCAAAGATGTCATGGTATTAGAGAAAAAAAGAAACAGCAGCAGCAGCAGCTGCTGCTGCTGCTGCTGCTGCTGCTGCTGTTGCTGCTGCAGCAACAGACGAACAAGAAGCTGAACAGCACGAAACAGAGAAGGGTTTAGGTTTTAGGGTTTAGGGTTTACATTACAACTGCCCCTTCATCAGCTCTTAGCAAAACCAAGCACCGTCACTGCTGCTGCTGCTGCTGTTGCTGTTGTTACCGCTGCTGCTGCTGCTGCTGATGCTGTTTCTGCTGCTGTTGCCGCCAGAACTAGAGCAGCAGCAGCATTAGCTGAAGCAGCATCAGTACGAGCAGCAGCAGCAGCAGCAGCAGCAGCAAAATCTGCAGCAGCACCATTAAAAAAGAAGAGATTTACGCTGAGGGTTTAGGGTTTGAAAACGCCCGCCTATCCTTATAAACCCTAAACCCTCACATTAGGGTTTAGGGTTTAGGGTTTAGGGTTTAGGGTTTAGGGTTTAGGGTTTGTGTGCTCTCAGTCTCTTTGCCTCCAAAGCAAACAAACAAAATTCGATAGCACTCCGACAGAACCAGAATCGCGGATAAAACCCTAAACACAAAACCCTAAACCCTAAACCCTAAACCCTAAACCCTAAACCCTAAACCCTAAACCCTAGTAAACCCTAATAAACCCTAGTAAACCCTTATAAACCCTTATGAACACTAATAAACCCTTTAAACCCTTATAAACCCTCAATACAAAACACAAACGCTAAACCCTAAACCCTAATAAACCCTAGTAAACACTTATAACCCCTTATAAACCCTCGTAAACCCTTATAAACACTTATAAACCCTAATAAACCCTAATAAATCCTAAACATAAAACACAAACCCTAAACCCGAAACCCTAAAACCCTAAACCCTAAAACCCTAAAAGAACGAAACACAAACCCTAAACCCTAAACCCTAATAAACCCTTATAAGCCCTTATAAACACTTATATATAAGATAAATAAATAAACAAATAAATAAATAAATAAATAAATAAATACCTGCGAGTTGCAGCAAATGGCCGCCCGATTGAAGTAAAGCGAAGCTGATGTTTGGATTCCTAAACCATAAACCCTAAACCCTAAACCCTAAACCCTAAACCCTAAACCCTTATAAAGCTTTGTAAACCCTTATAAACCCCTATAAACCCTAATAAACCCTTTTTAAAACCCTTATAAATCCTTAGAAGCACTTATAAACCCTTGTAAACCCTAACCCCTAAACACAATAAACCCTAAACCCTAAACCCTAAACCCTAAACCCTAAACCCTTTCCTTCCCCGGTTTGCAAGTACGCAAGGTTGTCCTGTGTATGTAAAATTAAGGGTTTAGGGTTTAGGGTTTAGGGTTTAGGGTTTACCTTGCTGCAGCAAAGACATCAATATCTTTTGCTGCTATTGGGTCCTTTGCTGCTTGAATAAAGAGAGTAGGAATCTGCAGCTGCTGCAGCAGCAGCAAACCATCTGCTGCACCCCACTGCTGTCGGAGGCCCCCAGGGTTTGCTGCTTCTACCAGCAACCACTCCTGCTGCTGCTGCTGCTGTTGCTGCTGCTGCTGCTGCTGCTGCTGCTGCTGGGGGCGAGGCTTGCATTCCGTTAGGTAGCCGCCAGATGCACGATCCTTCATCTTGCTGCTGCTCCTGCTGCTGCTGCTGCTGCTGTTGCTGAACGGGCAGCGACCTGAAGCAGCAGAAGCACCACTATCACCTGCGGCAGCAGCAGCAGAAATTCTAACTTTCCTCAGCTGCAGCAAATGATGAGCACGAAAGACTGCGAAAGACAAAGAAGACGCAAATTGCTGCTGCTGCTGCTGCTGCTGCTGCTGCAGTTGCTGCAGCAGCTGCTGCGCATACAATAAAATATACTCCTGGAGCAGCCAGGGGCAGCAAAGCAAAACTGGTGGAGGCCCTGCTGCTGTTGCTGCTGCTGTTGCTGCTGTTGCTGGGTTTACTGCAGCAGCAGCAGCGACCTTAGCATCCTGCTGCAGCCGCAGCAGCAGCAGCTGCTGCTGCTGCTGCTCCGGCGCGTTGCAGCTGCTGCTAGTGCTAGCGCTGCCTTGTATCACTTCGCCTCGTGCTGCTGCTGCTGCTGCTGCTTCTTGCTGCAGCACGGCATGCTGCTGCGACCTGGGAGTCAGAGGCCCTGCAGCAGCAGCAGCAGCAGCAAGGGGAGCAGCAGCGGCAGCAGCAGCAGCAGCAAGCCAATGCATGAGCTTCCGGACGCGATAAGGCAGCAGCAGCAAATCATAACCCCAAAATGGTGCTGCTGCTGCTGCTGCTGCTGCTGCTGCTGCTTGAGGCTGCAGCACCGCCATACAAAATACGCAGGCAGAAACAAACGACTGCGCTTGCCCGTAGCACTGTATTGAATCTGCTGCTGCTGCTGCTGCTGCTGCTGCTGCTGCTGGTGTTGCTGCTCTTGATCCTGGCCCTGCAGTTGCTTCCGTCGGCACTGCTGCTGCTGCTGCTGGTGCTGCTGTTGCTGCTGCTGGTGCTGCTGTTGCTGCTGCTGGTGCAGCAGCAACATGGCTTGTCGCTGCTCTCGCTGCTTTTGCATCCCCTGTTGAAGCGTGTTGCTGCTGCTGCTGCTGCTGCTGCTGCTGCTGCTGCTGCTGCTGATTCCCCGGTTCAACAGAAGCCTGCTGCCGCGGCCCGATGGTACCCTTACTGCTGCTCCTGCTCCTGCTGCTGCTGCTGCTGCTGCTGCTCTCGCCAGTACATTCATCTTGCTGCAGCAAACTGCTGCAGGATGTGTCTTCATCTATAGTAGATTGAATTGCTGCTGCTGATTTTGCTGCTGCTGCTGCTGCATCATCTGGGTCGCAAGCGACAGTCATCTGTTGCTGCTGCTGTTGCTGTTCCTGCTGCAGCTCCTGCTGCTTTTGCTGCTGCAGCAGCAGCTGCTGCTGCTGTTGCATGCAGCGACAGTAGGAGCATTGCTCTGGGGGCCGGATGCCTCGCCTGAAGTTGAGCGCAGCAGGAGCAGGAGCTGCTGCAGCTGCTGCTGCTGCAGCAGCAGCAGTAGGAGCAGCAGCAGCAGCAGCAGCAGCAGGGCCCTTAGCATTTGCTGCTGTTAGCGCCTTCACAACAGCAGCAAATGCAGAGCCGAAAGACATCACAGCAATTGGAGTCTCTCCGCAGTCTTCATGAATCACCTCTAATGCAGCCTGCAGCAGCAGCAGCAGCAACAACAGCAGCAGCAGCAGCAACAGCAGCAGCAGCAGCAGCAGCAGCAGCAACAGCAGCAGCAGGAAGATGCGGGGGTTTAGAGGGCGGTCAGCAGCAAAGGCAGCAGCTCTGTGATGTATACTTCCCTAGCGAGACTCTCAGCAGCAGCAGCAGCAGCACAGATAGCAGCAGCAGCAGCAGCAGCAAAGATAGCAGCAGCAACCGTAAAAGATAGCAGCAGCAGCAGCAACGATAACAGATAACAGGAATAAAGATAGGCAGAAGCAAAGATAGCAGAAGCAAAGATAGCAACAGCAGCAGCAACAGCAGCAGCAGCAACAGCAGCAGCAGCAGTAGCAGCAGGAGCAAGTATGAGTTACGCGTATTTCATCTTCTGGCTGCCCCACAATCAGCCCGCTGCCGCTAAGCAGCAGCAGCCTCTCGACCTGCTGCTGCTGCTGCTGCTGCTGCTGGTGGACACCTTGCTGCTGCTGCTGCTGCTGCTGCTGCTGCAAGGCACGAAGCAGATGTGGGGTGTCTCCGTCTGTGCTAAGATGAATGATGCAGCAGCAAAACCCGGCTCTAACTGCATCTGCTGCTGCTGCTGCTGCTTGCAGCGACGTGCCTTCTGCTGCTGCTGCACCAACAATAACAACAACGCCGCGCAGCTTCTTAAACTCCTCTCCTGTCTTGCTGCTGCTGCTGCTGCTGCTGTTGCTGCTGCTGCTGCTGTTGCTGTTGTTGCTGACTAGGATTTCGGTAGGGAACTGCAGGTCGTTAAAGTGCTGCCCCTCTGCTGCTGCTGCTGCTGCTGCTGCTGCTGCTGCTGCCGCCGTCTCAAGCTTCCCTTCGCGCTGCAGCCGCCGCTGCTGCTGCTGCTGCTGCTGCGGCTGGAACCAGGAGAAGTCGCTGCTGCTGCTGCTGCGCGAGAAGCGCTGCAGAAAAGTAGCAGCAGCACTGGCAATAGAAGACTTAAGCCCCTCCTTCTTCCGCTGCTGCTGCTGCTGCTGCTGCTGCTGCTGCTGCTGCTGGTCAGGCGAAGTGCTGCGCCTGCTGCAGTTGTTGCTGCTGTTGTCTTTCCAGCGATCCTCTGCAGCAGCAGCAGCAGCATTTGTTGTTGTTGGTGTTGCTGCTGCAAGCTGCGGCTCTCTCTGCTGAGCAGCTTGTGCAGCAGCTGCTGCCCTTGTAGCAGCAGCAGCAGCAGCTGCTGCTGCTGCTGCTGCAGCTGCTGCCGCGGGCTTGCTGCTGGGCTTATTATACCACTCTAATACAGTTACTGCTCCTGTTTGCTGCTGCTGCAGCAGCTGCAGGACGCTGCTGCAGCAAGGCTGCAGCGGCAGTTGCTGAAAGAAGCCCCAACGCGCGAGAGCAGCAGCAAGTTTTGCTGCTGCTGCTGCTGCTGCTGCTGCAAGCAATCCTCTCCCTGCTGCTGTTGGTGAATCGAAGCAGCGAGCGTCGTACGGCCCCAACGGAATAAAAGGCTGCTGCTGCTGCTGCTGCTTCTGCTGCTGCTGATGCTGTTGCTGCTGCTGTTGCTGCTGCAGCAGCTGCTGCTGCTGCTGCGCATGCAGCAGCCGCAGCCTCAAGAAGAAATGCTGCAGCAAATAATGAGGAGCAAAGGGTGGGGGGCGATAACTGCGGCGAGAGAACTCACAGCTGCAGCAGCAGCAGCAGCAGCAGCAGCAACAGCAGCAGCAGCAGCAGCAGCAACAGCAGCACAATGACCAGCAGGATGAAGCAATCGCCAGCAGCAGAAGCAGAAAGGAGACACGAAAGGGCAGCAGGCATAGCCGTAGCAGCAGCAGCAACAACAACAACAACGACAGCAGCAGCTGCTGCGACAACAACATCAACGGCAGCAACAACAGCAGCAGGAACAGCAACACTAGCAGCAAGAGCAGAATCAGCAGCAAAAATAACAGCAGCGAAATCAGTAGTATGTGCAGCAGCAGCAGCAGCAGCAACGGCATGAGAAGAAGAAGCAGCAGCACCAGCAGCAGCAACACCAGCAACACCATCAGCAGCAGCAACAGCAGCAACAGCAGCAGCAGCACCAACAGCAGCAACACCAACAGCAGCAACATCAACAGCAACAGCAGCACCAGCCTCAGGCTCAGCAGCAGCAGCCTCAGCAGCAGCAGCAGCAGCAGCAGCAGCAGCAGCAGCACACCGTTTAAGTATATACTTCATTAGGGGCCCTGATGCGTAGATTGCAACCCGAGACACGAGCAGCATTTGATATACACCCCACAGCAGCAGCAGCAACAGCAGCAGCAGCAGCAGCAGATGACGCAGAGTCGCCCAACGATAAACTGCTGCAACTATCCCTAAGGGATTTGCTGCTCGTGATGCTGCTGCTGCTGCTGCTCTTCCTGCTGCTGCTGCTGCTGTTGCTGCTGCTGCTGCAAAGCCTTTCACCCTCGTCCCCAGCAGCAGCAAATACAGCAGCAGCGCTGCTGCAGCTAGCAGCAAAAGGCGCAGCAGCAGCAGATTTTGCTGCTGCTTTCGCCTCTTCTTTGCTGCATCTTCTGCTGCTCTGGCTCCTGCCGCTGCTGCTGGTGCTGCAGCAGCAGCAGCAGCAGCAGCAGAATTTGCTCCCCCTACCCCTTCTGTCGGGGTTGATGATTGCACCGGAGCAGCTTGTAGACCTTTCTCAAGCGAGAGCATCTTGCTGCTGCTGCTGCTGTAGTTGTTGCTGCTGCTGCTGCTGCTGCTGCAGGTCTTGTTGCTGCCGCTCTTGCTGTAGGTGTTGCTGCTGCTGCTGCTGTAGTCGCTGCTGGTCTGGATGTCGCTGCCGTTGTTGCTGCTGTAGGTGTTGCTGCTGTACGTGTTGCTGCTGCGTGTTTTATATGCTTGTGCCGCCTCTGCTGCTGCTGCGGCTGCAGCTGCAGCTGCTGCTGCTGCAGCTGCTGCTGCTGCAACTGCTGCAACTGCTGCTGCTGCTGCTGGGCCTCTACTGCTGCAGCTGCAGCTGCAGGCAGATCCTTCTGTGAGTAGCTGCAGCAGCTAAAAGATATTTCTAGCAGAGCAGCAAGGTGAAGACATGCGACCTGCTGCTGCTGCTGCTGCTGCCAGCCAGCAGCAACAGCAGCAGCAACAGCAGCAGCAGCAGCAGCAGCAGCAAAGATGATGGAGTCTTCCTCAAGCAGCAGAATCTTCAAGTTGTTTATTGACTGAAATTAATTAATTTAATTAATATAAAATAAATAAATAATTAAAATAACAAACAAAACCGTCGCTTGAGGGCCCCGGTGAACAACCCCACCACAGCAGCAGCAGCAGCAGCAGCAGCAGCAGCAGCAGCAGCAGCAACAGCTGCTGCTGCTGCTGCTGTTGTCTTCTTCTTTTTGCTGTTTGTTTGCAACCGCTATTTGTCTTCTGCCCTTTCTTCAACTTTTTTCTTCCTCAGCACTAAACCCTAAACCCTAAACCCTAAACCCTAAACCCTAAACCCTAAACCCTAGCCAAACCCCCCTATACCCTGATCCTTAAACACTTAATAAACCCTAAACCCTAAACCCTAAACCGTAAATCTTTAATTAACCTACTAAACCCTAAACCCTAGATGCAGATCCCTAAACCCTAAACCCTAAGCCATGCCTCTAAACCCTAAACCCTAAACCCTAAACCCTAAACCCTCTGTTTTTTTTTGTTTTACGGTGTATTACTTTTTTATTTTTTTATATAAATTTCAATGGTTTACACAACCTGAGGCCTTCCTCCCCGAGGGTTTAGGGTTTAGGGTTTAGGGTTTAGGGTTTAGGATGAACAGCGCGCTGCCTGCAACACCAGAAGATGCTTATATGCAAGTGGGGGGTTCAGCAGCAGCAGCAGCAGCAGCAGCAAATGAGGTGTATATACAGCCCAAAGGGCCCAGCACAAGTGCTGTTCTAAAACGAAAGCTGCAGCAGCAGCTGCAGCTGCTGCTGCAGCAGCAGCAGCAGCACCAGCAGTACGTACCGCCTGCTGCACTCCTTCCAGCTGCCACACCCGCAGCAGCAGCAGCAGCAGCTGCTGCTGCAACAGCAGCAGCAGCAGCAACAACAACAACAGAGTTAGAATGCCGATGGATGTTTTGCTTCGCGCAGCAGCAGCAGCTGCTGCGCGATTTGCTGCTGTATGTTTTGATGTATGCATTTCCTGAAGAAACCCAAGCTGCTGCTGCTGCTGCTGCTGCTGCCCCGCTGCTGCAGCAGCAGCTGCATCTGCTGCAGCAGAAGCTACAGAAGCAGCAGCAGCAGCGACAGCAGCAGAAGGCTGCAAGCAGCATACCTATTTATATTGATGTTTTACTGCTGCTGGAGCAGCAGCCTTTCTTAGCGCAGCAGCTGCTGCTGCTGCCGCAGCAAACGCTGCAGCTGCTGCATAAGAAGGTGCTGCCCGCTCTCTCCATGCAGCTGCTGCTGCTGCTGCAGCAGCAACAACAGCAGCAGCTGTTGCAGCAGCAACAGCAGCAGCTGCAGCAGCTGCAGCAGGAAATGCAGCAACAGCAACTGCATGTGCTGCAGCAGCAACAGCAACTGCAGCAACGGAAGCAACAGCAGCAGCAGCAGCAGCAAGAACTGCAGCAACTGCATCTGCTGCAGCAGCAATCACTTCTTGCTGCTCCTCCTCTCTGTGCTCGCCTCATACATGCAGACTTTGTCGCAACAAACAACACCACGTAAACCCTAAACCCTAATCAAACCCTAAACCCTAACAAAACCCTAAACAACAAACCCTAAACCCTGAATTTTTGTGCTATCTTCTCGCCTATCCTTTTTATTTATTCTTACTGTTTATTTAATTTATTTATTTATTTATTTAATTTAATTTAATTTAATTATTTATTTATTTATTTATTTATTTATTTATGCAGGCATTTATCTGTGATGGACGTTGGCGATGTAATTACCCTCAAAGGCAGAGTCGTTAGGGCCGGTATAAACCCTAAACCCTAAACCCTAAACCCTAATGAACCCTTATAAACCCTAATAAACCCTTATAAACCCTAATAAACCCTTATGAACACGTATAAATTCTTATAAACATCTGTAAACCCTTTTAAACCCGTCAGCAGCAGCAACAGCAACAACAAAAACAAAGACAGAAACAACAGCAGAAGCAGCAGCACCAACAGCAGCAGCAGCAGCACCAACAGCAGCAGCAGCACTAACAGCAGCACCAACAGCAGCAGCAGCACTAACAGCAGCAGCAGCAGCAGCACTAACAGCAGCAGCAGCAGCAGCACTAACAGCAGCACCAGCACCACCAGCAGCAGCAGCACCTACAGCAGCACCACCACCACCAACAGCAGCAGCAGCAGCAGCAGCAGCAGCAGAGCGTTGTGTGTTTGTGTGTTAAGGCCCTGTCCAGATGTTAAACTCGCAGCGACATTTTCAGTGCAGGCTCTGCGGCTTCGTCTTCGCTGCTGCAGCAGAAGCAGAAATATTCTATAGACTGCAATTGCCTCCAAGATGCCCCTCTTGTCAGGGTTTAGGGTTTAGGGTTTAAGGTTTAGGGTTTAGGGCTTAGGGTTAAGGGTTTTGAGGGTTTGGGGTTTTGGGGGTTTGAGGGTTTAGGGTTTAGGGTTTAGGGTTTTGAGGGTTTCGAGGGTTTCGAGGGCTTAGGGTTTACTCTTTATCGTCTAGGGTTTAGGGTTTTATAAGGGCTAAGGGTTTAGAGTTTATGGTTGTTTGTTTATTATTTAGGGTTTAGGGTTTAGGGTTTAGGGTTTAGGGTTTGGATATATGTGTTGCAGCATTAGCAGGTGTACGCGTACCGTCAACAGCAGCAGCAGCAGGACGAGGCAAGAGCAGCAGCATCAGCAGCAGCAGCAGCAGCAGCAGCAGCAGCAGCAGCAGCAGCAGCAGCAGCACGTCGTCGTCCTCGTTGCCGAAGTCTTACA